GGAGACTTGCTACGGTCTCCAACCCTCCTCCTTTCTCATCCGGGCTTGGGACCGGCCATGGCGGAGTTATGAAAATATTCTTGCTATTTAAACATGAGGCTGCTAACAGTGCTAAAAACCTGGCTGAATAATTGCTTTTCCGCCTAGGTACAACGCATTGCTTAGTGCGTATTTCCCATTCCCTGATCAGTTGATTTGTCGCTTAGAAGACCGATCTGACATCTCTAATTTCTTTGCTATTGTCTCAATTATTTCTCACCGCTTATGGCATCCTTCAGCAACATCCGCCAGCAATATTCTTCGCCGGAGGTATTTACCACTGGCATCAACAGTACCATTGGACCCACGCAAATGCTCGTCAAACTGTCATGTCATTTTCGTTCGCCTATGACATTTTACACCATGTGCTTCAGTATTCGACAGTGGCATTTATATACGAGAGCCGTTTTATTATGCGGACCACACTACTTGATTATATGCGGTCTTACGTGTCAGATAACAACAAGTTCGTTAAACGCCAAGATTGTGTTTTGATTGTAACTATTGCAGCTGTTCTCACTGTTACGTGTTACTGATCACGCTTTTCGTTTATAACCATGTACGTAACACCTGTTCATTCCCCGCTTCATGCAGTTGAACAATGCGGCAACCCCTTTAAGATACTGTGACACGATCGAAATCCATTGGAGTACATCATACATAACATCAATTTCATTTTTCTTCGGCTATCTAAATCGTCTACGCCTCTTATCAATTTCTTTATACGTTGCCCTTCACGAATACTATATCTGTAACAATTTATGACTGTCCAGCGTTACGGTCTATCTATTAATAGAATACCAACTTCAAATCACACAAATGGCGCATGTTTCATATAATCAATTAATGGGCCTCCGTTTTTATGGCCCAGTGTAATTTCTTTTTTGAACATCCAACATTACGCACCTTCCAACAACTCATTATTCAACACCATTACTTACCTTCAAGCTGTTCAGTGTCCGTTCGTAAGACGCGAACTGATGCTATTTGAACGCTACCTAAAACCTTGGTGCACGTTTTTCTCCTGCATCGGAACAACGTATTTATTAGTTTTGTAAGCCCTGATCAGTGGATTTATCGCCTTTTATACCAATGAATACGTTGCTAATTTCTCCTTTATTATCTGCATATTAGCGGCAAGAGAACACCTTCGTCGCCGATGGCTATGTGCGTCCACAGGTAGCAGTGACATGCAACCCACTAGTATGACCGACAAACTATTTCGCTTCTGTACGCCCATAACATTTTACACTGTGTAGTAGAGTACTGAACAATGGCATTTTTGTACGCGCGTGCTTATCTTTAAAATTTTACGTGATTATCTGTCGTTTTACTTGTCTGATTCCAACTATATTGGTCAGATGCCAATAGTTCGTGTTAATAATTATCATCATTACACTTGCACTCACTGTTGGGCAATACTGATCACGCGTTTCTTTTTTAGCCACGTAAGCAGCTTATCCGCTGTTTCATTGTAGTTCACGATCCAGCTATAGGACACTATTTCACGATCGGTGTGGCTATATACAGAACGCTGTGGCTACATCCCTTGGCTCACATCTGGCATTACATCAGCTTCATTTTACTTCAGCTGATCTGTATTCGTAACAATTTACTATCAACCGATACTTCATTTCATCAGCTAAAGCGCATCACATTTTTCGGCCGAGTAAAATTCTTCCAATATCCAACATTACATACTTCCCAAATAATACCACTACCTTAGTGGCCATCCATCTGATCGCTGATAGGTTGATGTAACAATGCGGTACATCCGTCTAACCTTGTCGCATACCTGATACATTTCGCACTGAATGCATATTGAGCACAGAGCAGTTATATTTATATATGTGTCGTCGCGTTGGGTTTAAAAAATTCTTTCCATGCAGAATCGACGAAATTTTACAAGCTTTTCTGTTCCGCCACTATTAGCAAATTCATTCCCTAGGTGCAGAAACTTTGCTGCAAAAATTCTGCATTTCTTTAACAATACACTTATGGGTGTTACTTTTTCCTTTTCTTTGAAGACGTCGCTTCTTTGAACTGTCCGTCGCTTCTAATCCGTTTTAATGCATGAACACGGTATGCAATTTTTAACGCATAAGATTGCACATGGATCTGCACGTAAAGTTCGAGTCCTTAATTTGGTTAATAACTCCACCGTTCTCCTCTGATGCGCACTGGGACTTTCAGTTCCCCATTCGTTATTCGCCGATGATCGCGTCGTTCCTTTCTTTTCGGTTTATTTTTTCTTTCGTTCATTTGCTCTCTGACCTCATCTAATCCTTCGACTTTTCTTTCATTTGCTGTCTTTTTCAAATATTCAGCATTTTCACTCCTGTCAATACGCAAACAATAGGGCCATTAAAACCTCCCTTGCGCTGCATCATTGTGTGAATTTTGGGCCATTTGATATTAGTGGCTACTGTACGGAGGTAAGTAGTCCTGATTCAAGGACTCTAGTATGTGGGATATGTTAGTTTCGTTCTCTAAACCTCTGCAAGCTGATGCTACAACCAACAGCCTAACAGAAACCGCGCAAAACATTATTATGCACAGTAAATAGTTGAAACTTTGACTTAGTAAATAGTTGAAACAGTAAATAGTTGAAAATTTGGATATTCGAGTAATGTCTGGTTTTAATTTGCCTTCTTCGTAAGGAAATAAGTGCAGTAATAAGATATATCGTACTTTTCATTTTTGATTAAGTCTTACAAGATTCGTAATAGGAGCTGAGTCAGAATTTTTGAATATCAGAGTTGTCTTCGTAACTCCGCCATGGCCGGTCCCAAGCCCGGATGAGAAAGGAGGAAGGTTGGAGACCGTGGCAAGTCTCCGTAAATTCAGCCACCTGCCGCTCATGATATTGACGCCATCGAAAATTATACCTGCTCGGTCGTCGCCCAGGTTACCAAGGGCCGCGCAGACTGTTGGGGGACTGAGGCAGACTGTGAAAAGTCGGCAATCAGAACCTACTCATTGCCCTCTGCCAGCCGGGGGCGTCTTTTATGCCATGCACCAGAAATGCTAACTAATCGGAGTATTTGTGATTGGTTCTGCCTAACTTTAATCTCTACATACATACCTAGTAAACTATTACCGACATAAGCTAGAACAATCAGCGACCTTATCACACGGTTAGTTAATAACCTTGCTATGACGCATTCAACACGTGACTGAACATAAGTCTGCATCTGCAGAGACAATGCGGCCAAGGCTAGAGTCAATGTCCTAATGCTGTTATAACAATCCATGTGCTGAGCACTGCTAGGAAATATAACTTGTTACTTAATTACAGTTATTAATCTTCATTAAGGCACAGTGGGCAAAGCAACCTGAAGTTAGACACAAACTATGAATCTTTAACATATATTGTACGCAACAAAGGAGGCGTCATTAAATGATTTTGAGGAGACGAAAGAAGGCGTATCGCTTCCTGGTGTAAGCGGTCAGCACGACCTACCGCAGGAGCATAAGGTGGCGACTGTACCTCAAAGAATTGAAGTTGGAAAGCCATTAGTGGAAGAAAAAGGCAACATACTGTATGGTAGGTGAATATCATCAACAGGATGGCAAAGAAAATCTCATCAGCGGTTAGTTGTATAGCTGGTCTAACAAACTGCCCGAAGGTGCAACGATCGTCAGAAACAATGGTGTGAATATATCGAAGAATTTTTAATAGGCCTAGTCCAGTTCGGGTTATTGAAGTGAGTCTTACCGTATCGCCTCATCATGCCTTAGCCAGTCAGCGTCAAAAAGCAGATCTGTTTAAGGCAGGAAACAACCATAAAATGCTACAGACAGCGCATATTAAAAAATAAAAAGCCACTTTTTCGGTGGCGGACTGATCACTTAACAGACCAAGAAATATACTGTTCTGCGTGCAGTCTCTTTAAGGTCTCAAACTCATCCGATTGACATATCTGGAAAAATACAGTTAGTTTTACGCTACCTTCCATGTGGAATAATACTCTCGACTGCCCTAAATGCTTCCATCTAAGTTTATGATGTGGCAGACCTACGTTAAAAGACGTTAGGTACTTTATCAGCTCTGATTACCATTTCCAAATACTAGCCAACAGTTCCTGGGTTCATGACATTTTTTCAGGTCTCCGGAATCGACTTAGCATGCGTACCACACTCCACTCTGCACATCATTCTGTGCTTTAGCTGTTGCCCGATCTAGTGGATGGTTGCGCTGAAACACTTGGTGGAATGTTTTGATGGGGACATCTATTTATAATCGAATTCAAAATCAAGCTGTGAAGAAAATGCTACTACGTATCAAGAATAATACCTTAGAATGAATGACAGTTTGGTGAAAGAGTAGAGTGAAGAACAGCAATAATCAGGTTCATAAGACAAATTGAATGAAATGGTATCGGGACTTCTAATCGTGACAGAAAGCGAAATACTTTCTACTCACTCACTCAATTTTGATTATTCCGCTTATGCTTAAGTCAATATTCTAAATAATGCAAATGCGCAGCTAATCTTAGTTGCCTGTTAGGTGCATCCAAGGCTAACTCTATGAATAAGCATGTTTCCTAGAGAATGAAACAAAACGGAACTCCGTCTTTGCCGGTCCCTACCCCGGTTGAGAAGGGAGGAGGGGTAGAGAATGTGGCAAAGTCTCCGTAAAATAGCCACCTGCCACTCATGGTATTGACGCCAACAAAAATTATACATGCGCGGTCGTCGCCCGGATTACCAAGGACCGCGCACGCTGTTGGGGGCTGAGGCAGACTGCGAAAAGTCGGCGATAAGAACCTGCTCATTGCCCTCTGCCAGCCGAGGGCCGAGGGCGTAGCGGTACCATAACGGCTGACAAAGACCTACAGAACGATGACGAAGATACCAGTCAGCAACGGAGTCGCTACCCGTTCTGAACTGACAAACAGCACGATGTCATTATAGCGCGTCAGAAAAGGCTCCACGAGAACGGCACCGTCAGTGTGAATTAAAGTTGGAAATTGGAACATATCCTCACTCAGACGGAAAGAACAAGAGTTAGTTGATGAGGCTATAAAGGACTCCCCACAACGAAGTGTCAAGGCTCTAGAATCCTGAACCTCAGCGGATGGAAGCTGTTACACTCAGGCGTCGAAATCACGACTCGCGCTCAAGTCAATGCTGGCGTACTGGTATAACCCAACCTCGCAGAGAGAATTATTTATTGGAAGCCTGTCAGCGGAAAGGTGGTAATCCTGCGACTGAAGCTACAACAAGCTAAGGCGTTGACCTTGGTAAAGGTCTATGCGCTCAATTTGGATGGAGAATATTATAACTTCCTTGAGGAGGTGCAGTTTTCTCTGTCCGAAGTGGCGAATACTGAGTCCTTCATACTCATGGGCGATTTTAATGCACATGTCGAAGTTGACGCTGAAAAGTGGAACGGCGCAATTGGAAAAAAAGGTCCTAGCGACCTCAACAATAACGGCATGAAGTTGTCGCGCTTTTGTGCAATTAACGGATAGTCCATTATGAACACCTTCTTCGAGCATCGACATTCGAACACCTTATCAGTATACCTGGTACCGGGAAGCTTGTGCAAAGAAGTCGATGATCCATATGATAATCGTATCGTCTGATTTAAGCGGCTCAGTAATGGATGCTGACCTTAACAGAAGCGCAGAGCTATGAACCGATCACCAGCTTGTTGTTGGCACGCTGCCCTGTAAGAAATAGAGTACCATACGAAGATCTGGTTGCAGAAGCAAACAGAGAATCAAATGGAAAACATTATCTTCGGTGGACAAGAGAGGAATTTGAAAACAACATCGCACGACGGTTAGAATAGATCCCGGTGTGGAAACCGAGTGGCAGCTCTTTAACAGCGGCATACTCGAGGCTGCCGCCGAAAGCTGCGGATATAAACGGGTTGGCCTGCCGCCTGGAGGTCAGAAAAGTTCTTCATGGTGGACACGAGAGGTACAATTAGCAGTTAAAGAAAAGAAAGTGGCGTTCAAGAAATCGCTTGGAAACACGGAGCTTTCTACTTGTGTGCGGTATATCGAGGCAGGCAAGGCGGCAGCGAAAGCAGTGGAGAAAGCCAAAGCTGATTCTTGGGAGAAGTTCGGTTAGGTGTTGGTGTCGAATTTCCACACATCAAACAAAGCGTTCTCGCAGACAAACCGACGGCTGCGACGTGAAAGGAAAGGCAGTCTCAGAGTCTTGAAGGGTAGGTCTAGACACTCTCTTATCAAGGATGATGATATTCTTCGGCGATGGAGGAAGTACTTTGAGGAACTCCTTAACCCTGCGCGATGGAAGCTGAAGATGAAAACAAAACTGCTGAAAAATGACGTAATGCAGCATTGTGCAAATTGTCTATGCCTGGAATGTGTCAGACGCCTAAAGCAGTGAATTCTGAATGGCAAGGTTGGTAAGGCTACAGAAAAAAATGTCAAACTAATGTAGCAGGTAAATATAAGTATGAGCTGACATCAAATATTTACACGTTTTATACTTCATAAGGTTTCTGTAAGAGCGGTAGCAGAGCAGGTAAGCATTTTGTTCTTTTTAGGGTTCTTCTTCGTCGTCGGTTCGTGACTGAGTAAACACTTGTTTTCCTTTCGCTTGTTTCCTTTCGCATGGTATAACAAGAATATATAGAATATCAAATTTCTAAATCTTGTAATGTCACGTCTGAAGAAATGACCTATAGGGGCAATCACTACACATAGGAAAATGCTTCCACTATGATGAAGCAGTTCCTTCTTTCATTTTCCTTCTCAGAATAGACATTTTAGTTTCCAGTCTTTTTCTCCTGACGTATCATTCCTATACAAAGAATCGTGGCAGTGAATTCGTTTATTTACTATGCGTGAAAGATTTTTTATTTTCCATATGGCATCAGACCATCAGGCTGAATCCCTATTACATAACATTTAACGTGAAATTTATAATACAACGTAGAACATGCAACAAGGACGACAGTCGTAATTTAGGAACAAAAAGTAAACAAAACAATACATAATGTTATTCAACAATATCGATGAATTCGCTAAAAACTAAAACAGTTTCGAGTCTGATCGTACATTACCGGAAATTCTTGGTCTCTTCCTCTAGAAATCAAAAACAATTCATAACAGAAAAGCAACAGCAACTATCTACCTTCGTTTCCGTTGGAACGAATGATAGGCCAGAGCACTGCTTTGCTCGCTACGATATGCGTACCCAGCCTCTAACAGAACCTCGAATCGACTAATAAGAAGTTGAAGTTGAATCGAAAGCATGTAGTCTTTCATATCTTCGCTCAAATCCTTAATGCAGCCGCAACACACGTATCTTTCCAATGCCTGCAAAAACTTCATAAATATATCTCATGATATCATTTCACCTTTACAGTTCTTCAAGTCTGTTTCAAGTTGACCAAATCACTAATAAGAAGAACTGACCGCTGAAACAAAGGAACATCCTTCACACTACTTTAAGAATGATTTTGCAATATATCCCAAAAATCCTTCAGTATCAAAATTCGTTAGTGACTTCACAATTAATTAAAAGGCAACTTATAAAAAGTGTCACGATATCCGCAATGTCCCTTACAACTGCGAAACATCAGCCACTATAATATGATATCTTCATCTTCCATGGCCCCTTCTCTTTTCAGGTGGCGGACGCGTCCATCGTTCCCGATCCCATGCCAGAGTCTGAGCTTCGGCAGAAGATAACTAGAATATTCAACACACCTTCCATACATTCGCTCTAAGTTAATCTTCGTCGTCTCCTGAGTCTTCTACAAATCGCATTGGCAAGAAACAGCTGCTTAGCCTTCCATTCTGGATGCATTCGCAACACATACCCTAACCATCGCAGCTGTGACTTCTGAATCAGGAGAAGCAAAGGCTGTATACCAAGGCTCTCTCGAACGTCACTATTCTGGACCATGTCGAGACGCATAAGTCTGGCGACTCGTCTCAGAAATCCCATTTCAGCAGTCTGTATCCTGATTCGAAGCTTTTCAGTTAAGGTCCATGATTCATGACCGCAGGTAAACATGGGGATAAAGATCGACCTGAACACCGAGAGCTTATTTTTCACAATTGACAGTGCTATTTCACACAGAAGGCCAATGGCTACTCCAATTCACTGGTCGATCTCTTCCTGATATTTTTTATCACTAATAAATAGACTCCGAGCTACCTGAACTTCTCCATCTGATCCACTGCCTCTCCGCTAATTAAGAATAAACGGGCAGGAGCAGGAGAAAGCATTAGGCTTTTCGTTTTAAATGCGTTCACACGCATGCCTGTCACATCGCATTCGGCTGCGAACCTTTCCAGGCAGCACTGTAGATCAGTTTCAGAAGATGCTAGTAAAATAAGGTCCTCCAGAAACAGCAACCTTCTTGTTTTCACATCACCTACACCGATACACTCATCGCTTTGGCAGCTCCTGACTATTCTATCCATGTACAACCCCAATAGGAGAGGGAACAGGACGCACTCTTGGAGGATATCAATGCCAACGCTGAAAGGCTTCGACATAACGCAATTTACTCTGACGCAACACCTGCTACCAGAATACAGTGATCGGATGGCCCGTAACAGCTGTGCATCTATCCCGCATGCTCGCAGGCATGACCACAGACTGTTGCGTTGGATCCGATCATAGGCTTTTTCCAGGTCAACAAACACATGTACACCGGACGAGCGTGCTCGCACGATTTCTTAACAATCTGGCGCAGGTGGCCAATATATGGTCACAGGTGCTTCGACCGGGCCGGAAGTCACACTGCTCCTCTTATATCTTGGAGTCAGTTTCTTCGCGACACCTTCCTAGCATCTTTGTGTAGACCTTACCTAGGAGGCTCAATAACGTAATGCCCCTACAATTGGAAGACTCCTTCTGGTCTCTCTTCTTGAATAGGGGTAAAACAACTCCCGTTATCCAGTCCGTTTGTCTTCCCCGTAGTCATCGCAGTTTGACAAACACGTGTAAGTCAGCGCATGCCTTGTTCACCTAATGACTTGAGCATTTCAGAGCGGACTTCATCAATTCCAGCAGCCTTTCCATTTTTCAAGCTTTTCATAGGTTGAGCAATTTCATGCACAGAGATAGTCATATAAGTTCCCTGTTGCTCTACAGGTGAGTCTTCCTGCGGCTGCTCGGGGTCAATAAGCTCCTCAAAGTACACTCTCCATCGCCGAAGAAAATCTTCATCCTTGGTAAGAGGGTGTCTAGACCTATGCTTCAAGACTCTGAGGCTACCGTTCTTTTCACGCCAAAACCGGCGGATAGTCTGCCAGAACACCCTGTTTTTTTTTGACCCGTGCAAATTCAGCTCCAATACCTCATCGAACTTTTCGCAAGAATCGGCTTTGGCTTTCGCCACTGCTTTCGCTGCAGCGTTGTGTGCTTAGACACATATCGCACGCGAGTAGAAGACTCTTTGCTTCCTAGCCATTTCTTGAACGTTGCCATTTCCTCTTCAACTGCCAGTTGTACCGCTCGTATCCAACAGGAAAATCTTTTCTGAACTCCAGGCGGCAGGCCAACCCGTTTAAATCTGCAGTATTCGGCGTCAGACTTGAGTACGCCTCTCTTAAAGAGCTGCCACTCGGTTTCCACATTAGTAGTCATTACTGTGATCTGTTTAAACTGTCGTGCAATGTTGATTGCAAATTTCGGTCTCGTGTCCACCGAAGATAATGTTTATCATTTGGATGTCTGGTTGCTTCTGTCTTCAGATCTTCGTACGGTACTCCATTTCTTACTACGAAGCGTGCCAACAGCAAGCTGGCCATCGGCTGACAGTTCTGCCTTCTCTTAACATGAACGTCCATTACAGTGCATCATAAATCAGACGATACGATTATCAAATCCATCTTCGGCCGCTGTGCACAAGCTTCTCTGTACTACGTAAACTGATGCACTCTTTGATGCTCAATGAATGCGTTCCCAATGAACAGTCCGTTGTTTGCGCAAAACAGCAACAGCTTCGTGCCGTTATTGTTGAGGTCGCTAGGGCCATTCTTTTCAATTACGCCTTTCCAATCATTTTTCAGTATCTTCTGCAACATGCGCATTAAAATCGACCACGAGTACGTGGGGCTCCGTTATCGGCGTTTCGTATAGGCCACTTCTCAAGGAGGAACTCATACTCCCCCTCCAAATTTTGCGCATAGACCTGTAACAAAATTAATGCTTTAGCCTGTTGCAGCTTCAGTCAGAGGAATGCCACTCTTCCGCCAACAGGCTTCCATTCAATGATTCCATGTGCGAGGTTTGGTTCTACCAGAGAAACAACACCGGTCTGCGCGCGCGTCGTGATATCGACACTGGAGTAGAATAGCTTGCACCCGCGGAGGTTCAGGATTCCAGAGCCTTGGCGCTTTGTTGAGGAGAGTTCAACAATGTGGAGTTGGTACTTTATGACCTCATCTACTAACTCTTGCTCGCTCTCTCTGAGTGAGGATATATTCCAATTTCCGATTGTAAGCTCCCACTGGCGGTGTCATTCTCGCGGAGCCTTTTCTGCCGTGCTATAATGGCATCGCCATCAATATCAAATTTCAATGAGAAAATTTTTACATGTTCAACAATTCAAAGCAAGCAGTGATTTTAAGTTGTTCGCAGCAGATCAACGTTTCGAACCACACTAGCACTATCACGCAGTGTCATAGTTATGACTGTCATGCATAAGATTGCCTTAAATTAAGGACCACAGATTCTGGGAATAAACTTCCACACCTATCCAAACACGAGAATGAGAGAGGCTGATCGCAGACAAACTTGCTTTATATATGGCATTTTTATCTAAGGGTTACATTAAAGAAAGAGATACGTACATTGCGTTAAAACTTAAAAATACTGACCCTTAGCTGTTCATCATTGCTGGACAGACGAGTTCCTTTGCAGCAACATAACAAACAAATTATTGGCGGTGTTACTGGGTATGAAACACTGACGTAAATTAGTGCACTCAGTTTTGCTAAAAAACAGCATAACATGAAAAACATGGCACATCGTAAATATACCTTGGTCCCGTTCAACAAACGCGCAAAAAAACCAACCATCTTTTGAGACCAGCTGTGTCTTCATTAGAGCTTGTGTAGCCGGATGGTCCTTAAATAAGATGGAAGCCTAATGAGAAAATCAAAGAATTCCCTTACAATAAAGTCTTCATATGTCATCGACGTCCAAGAAGTAAGGCGAGCAGTGAGATAAGGTGAAAAAAGTGTATATGCCTGTTTAGGCAAATCAATATTCAAGTTCTCTATAATAAATGAAATCAATGCATCAACTCTCATAGAAGTTAAAAAAAATCAAGTTAACATTTCTCAAAATCGTTGAGGACTAAATCAAAATCTACGAAATCTGGGCAGTGAAGACAATGATCATAAAAGAATGAAATTGCGCTAGTCAATCATATGTTTTGCAGCAACAACTGCAGCAACATTGGGGCATAGTTCAGTAGTTCGCACTTGCGCTTTAGAGATTCAGGACGTTACGTAAGTTTCCCTTCTTAACAACTAATTACCATCAGCAGTTAAGAAAACGCCATAATGTGCTTCGATTGAACCAGCTGATAGACGGTGTGCTGGTTGTGATTATCCCATTGAAACAGCTGTCACAGGCAAAATGGATATGGTTTGTGACGTGCAGCGTTCACAGCTTTTCAGTGAACTTACTATACAGCACTAGTCACTGCACTAGAACGATTCATCTCAGAAAGCAGATCTGCCTCGGCCTTATTCTCCATGTTGCATGCTGCTCTCCTTGTTGATGTCTTTCACGTTTCCGACATTACATGAAAAGGTTAGAAGGAAGAATTTATGTCTAACAATTTATGTAAAACGGACAATCACATCTTCGCAACCTATGCATCTTCACTTAACACCTGCTCCCGGAAATAAACGGAGTTTTTATTTACGTGCTGCTGTCATTTAGGCCTCATTATATGTCGAAATCAAACGCTGCTGAAGGCAGTTCAATTAACGTTATTGCTAGTTCCTTATAACAACTGTGGCCATGCGGTACAACAATACTTAGCTGACGTAAGCGAAATCCCCTTCATACGCGGATTTTGGAACATTTCTAAGTCAAAATATTGGATATGCCATCAAAGGTACTGCAGGCGAGGGCATTCCCAATATTTTACTTTGGTCGATCGGTGCCATCACTGACGATCATAGAGTCAAGATGCTTAAACTGCCTGACTTCCCTGACCTATCTTCGTCCATCTGTTCCATAGTAATATCAGCTCTGACAGATGGGTTTTAATAACTTTGGACTTCGAAGTGCTAAAGTAGAGGCCGGTTTTCCAATTCACCTAATAAAGCCCACTAGTCGTAGTACTCGCCAGGACAGCACCATCTCTCTGCTACACCACAGCAACAAACATAGCCAGATATCTTGAACCGTGCCTTCCCTACATAATGAAACTCTCGTCTTTGCCAGAGAGAGCACTGTTTAAAGAACAATGCTTAATAGGAAAGGCGAAAACACATCTCCCTGGCAAACTCCACATATAACATGGAGTCACTCAGATAGCTCTCCTTCAACTTCCTCTTTTAAAATGGAACGAAACGCTAGGTATTCTATAGCATTTCAAGATTTCC